CGACCCCTTGACCGGCAGTCGTACTTGCGACCACTCGGCCACCGAGGCAGTCGAAAATGAGACATACGGGAGAATTTCATTTGTGGTAATAGTATTTTTTAAATAAACGTTGGCCACACTAGTATTTTATCCTGTGCCATGGGTGCTTTTACAAACATATAAGTTCACATGCACATCACACCCAGAACTGAAACAACAATTTGTGGATCACACAAAGAGTTTCAAGCAATTTCAGTTTATTTGTAAATTCACTATCAAATCTTAATTATATTATTCAGAAATTGCAATTCAAATTGATTGCATTACGGACGATAATATTAATTTCAAGAAGTGTATTAATCGCTTGAATGCACTGATGTGAGACACAATAGAACTACATTGTGTCTCGCGTCGATCCACGTTGAGACACACGATTGGTGTAATACAAGTGTAAATATGATTTACTAGGATTGTAATTGGTAATTGCGATTGCCTCGTTGGCCGAGTGGTCGCAAGTGCGACTCGGCAAGGGGTCTCGGGTTCGAATCCTGGGTCGGGCAAAGTACTTACTGGGTTTTAAAATAAATCTTAGTGGTAGCACGGACTCTGGAATTGTGCCCGGATATGGCAGTAAGTTCACCCTCTATTAAATGGGACTCGTAACATAAATAGTGAAAAGTGGGTGTTACATTGTACAGTGACATTAAGTGCCGTAATGTGCACCTCTGCCTACCCCTTCGGGGATAAAAGGCGTGATGATATGTTATGTTATGTGATTGATAATTCTTAATAATAGCACAGAGTCTAAAAATGTGCCCCATATATGACCATAAGTTCTACTTCTACTAAGTACATGGAGTTTTGAATATTAATGGTGAAAAGATGGTATACACTGTCAAAGGAGAACAGAATGGCTCCATAGATTCCTGGGCCCAGGTGTTAACTAAATTAAATTAGCCTTATATGTAAGAGGATATAATATCAAGGTTTAACTGAGAATTGGGTGAAATTTGTCTTCCTAGAAACGAAGTTATCTGAATTATAGTAAAAGTTAGGTTATAGTATAACAATGTGATTATTTTTGTGTAATTTCTGAAATACTTGTCCTTGTCCAAAATAGAACAGTTGTCCAAAATAGAGAGTCAGGTAATTCAGAGTAGCAAGATCCGTCGAATAGTCCGTTATAATATGCAAAGCCGAGGTCGTGGATTTAAACAATAAAACAAGGAAAATACGTGCGCACTCAGAATAAAAGTAAACAAACAAGTACATCAAGTAAGTCAGTCATTGTCAATAAAACGCAAGCCGCCAAGGGTTGTCAGAAAAAAAATACACTATAATCGATTAAATCGATTTCACGAAACCTTAATGAATTGATATTCATATACATAATAGCTTCCATCCGCAACTTCGTACGCGCAATCAAGCTCTTGACAATAACAAACACAACAAAAAAAGATCAGCCAAATATTCTCAGATTTTAGCGATTTATTAATAATCGATTACTAGGGCTTATTTCTTTTTTTTTTCTTTTTTTTTTCTTTTTAAAAAACGTTGCCCCACACTAGGATTTTCTCCTGTGTCGTGGGTGCGTTTACAAACATACAAGTTCACATACACAATGACACCCAGACCCGAAACAACAATTTGTGGATCACACAAAGTGTTGTTCCGTGCGGGAATCGAACCCGCGACACGTTGCACGGCAGCCGGTTGCCCAGCCACCGCACCAACCGTGCAGTCTTTTAGTCTTATTATCTTGTGCAATCGTGCAGCATTTAATCGATTATTTAGTCTTATTATCTTAATTTAAGTTTTCTCGCTTCCTGGGTAGAATCCTGGTACCATATTTTGTAATTTTCTTTACAAAAATGTACCGGTTTTTTTGAGATATATTTCACGTAGTTAACTGCTGGGCCCAGAAGTCCCCCTCTCCTTTATTTAGTTTTCGTTCCGCGGCGAAACACCTGGACATAAGAAGTACTTTCGATGTATAGAGTAAAAACAAAAAAATAAAGACGTGTTTTTTTTAGTTTACTAAAATATTCACTGACTTACGCATTTCAAAATTTACATGTAATGTAGATGGCAGTTTTTAGGCACTATGCGCATAGCACCACCCTACGAGAATACCTAGGTCTTCGAGAACTACATTGCGTGATGTTTTGATTATGTACTATGAGTTCATATGCACTTTCGAAGTTTACTTTTTGCAATAGTTCACCACTTATTTTTTTAAACATTTTATTTCTTTGTAAAACTATCGTATTACCGAGACAGAACCATTTCTAAAGCCAAATAAATTTTATGATGCATATTAAACAGACAACACAATGTTATGCTACATGCTATAAAGAGGAATGTTAATGGTAGGACAGTAATTAGACATCATTTGTCATTCTGCTTGTGTTTTTTTGTTTACATGCAATTAGGACTTTCTTACTTTATAACTGTTCTACTTATAGCTTGACAATGCTAAAAGTTGTGTACTGTTTTGCTTTGTTGACTTGTTAGTCAAAAGTGCAAATGTCACGAAAGTGGTTTAGTGTACAATTGCCGGGTCAAACAGAGTATTGGGGTGTCAAAAGTGTCTATGGGCACTTGAACAGCGCTGACGGCTTACCTTCATATGATTCTTATAGGTACTAGTTTTTTGTTAACAGGTTTAAGCAGTTGTAAAAAAAAAACTATTGTTTTGAAAATGCAATTTGATTAAACGCAAATACATGAAATTAAATTCTACTCCCTCTCCTCTTCTAATCATCTAATTTTAAAATATAAATCTTGCAATCGTTCTACAAATTTTATTTTCATATTAGATAACATTTGTATTTTGTGTTTCACATTTATTTTAAACTTAGATTGAAGCCATTACGAGAGGATTTAGGTTTCATTAAGATAGCCATCTGTTCTGATGAAATGATAGCTATGCACTTATTAAGAAAATATTTTCAAGTTAAGCGTCTTATTAAAATTTCACCATTGATGTAGGTAGTATCATAATATCAAATTCTCCACATAAATGGGTTTGTCATAACCTCCACACCTGCAAACAGGGGCTTACTATTGAATCCAATTCCTATCGATCGACATTGGTATTGTGAAATTTCATACTCTTGAGTTGCAACTAAATGGTATTGAGTTTGGCTTTATATTCCGTGCTCTGAATTCTATTTTAAAAGCTACGATAGGGGTTACATTGTTTTGACATTGAATAATTATTGAGATTTTATTGCATTGAAATTGCGTACATTGAGATTGATTCAAGAGTAAGCACCCTGGTCGGAGACTGTTAGACTAAAAGTTTTGGGTTCAGCGAGGTACCTAATTCATGAAGATGTCATTTTAAACTTTCAAAATGAGCTCGATCGCATTTTTGCTCGTCATTGATTAAGATTATTCTCATAACCAATGACATGGCGGACTGCGACCGTGTTCTCTTCGATCTTTCGAATTTGAAGTTACAGAATAGCTGACGCAGTTGTCTGTCAAACACCGCGAGGACACCCGTTTTCCGCACACCTATTGTTCTTTAATTGTGTCTATAATGACGGTACTCAAAGGGTTAAATTAATGTGCAGTCTCCTTCGGCAACCACGAAAAGAGTAAAGGTCATCGCACGGCTCCGGCACGGCTCCAACTCAGTAATGAACAAGTCATTTAAATATGAACTGTAAATCGTATGACGTACGACATATTTTATAACGTAAATTTAAATGCAGTAAGCGCGCCGCTCACGCGCCGTCCGCGCGCCGTCGACGCGCTTACAACCTTTTTGTATTGTTTCTAAAGCAAATAAACGCCGTGCCGGCACTGGACTGCTCGGTTGGTGCGGTGGATGGGCAACCGGCTGCCGCGTAACGTGTAGCGGGTTCGACTCCCGCTGGGAGTGACTCTTTGTAACATAACATAACATCACGCCTTTTTATCCCCGAAAGGGTAGGCAGAGGTGCACATTACGGCACTTAATGCCACTGTAATGTAGCACCCACTTTTCACTATTTATGTTATGACTCCCATGTAATAGGGAGTGAGCCTATTGCCATATACCGGGCACAGTTCCAGACTCCGTGCTACCACTGAGAAAAACCCAGTAATACTTTGCCCGACCCGGGAATCGAACCCGAGACCCCTTGCCCGGCAGTCGCACTTGCGACCACTCGGCCAATGAGGCAGTCCACAAATTGCTGTTTCGGGTATGGGTGTGACGTGCATATAAACTTGTATATTTGTAAACGCACTCATGATACAGAAGAAAATCCTAGTGCGGGGTAATGTTTTTTAAAAGAGAAAGAGAAAGACCTTTAGGGTAGTAACTACAAATATATATACTGCTCTGTGGTCTTCACACGACGTAAATTGCACCTTACCGTTTTATAAATAGAATCTTAAATGGCTTTTCTATGTCTAGTCGGGTAACCTAGTTCAAGACGATTGACATGTTAGAAATGTAAAATGTATTTCTGTCTGTTCTATTCTTGTGTTGTAAGCCGCCGAGATTGCACCTAAAGGTGTACCTCTCGGCGAAACCAATTTTTGGTGTAACAGATTTTAAGTAACAATATTAAAGCCTTGCTGGGGAAGGGATCGCAAGTGCGACTATGAAAAGTCGGTGTTACATTGTACAGTGGCATTAAGGTGCCGTAATGTGCACCTCTGTCCACCCCTTCGGGGAAAACAAATTAAAGTTATGTTATTATAATCATAAATGAAGGCTAAATTTTTGATAGATATGGATCAAATATGTGGACCTCTGCAGTTTACACCTAACGTTATGGTATTTAGTAATGTAACAAAAACCATGCCAAATATAATAAAATCTATATATATAAAAGAAAGTCGTGTTAGTTACACCACTTATAACTCAAGAACAGCAGAACAGATTTAGCTAAAATTTGGTATGGAGGTAGCTTAGAGCCAGGAGACGGACATAAGATACTTTTTATCCCGTTCGAAAAAAAAGTTTAGTTTAGTTTTAGTTTCCGGGAAAAACAGGATTGCGCGTACGAAGTCGCGGGCAGAAGCTAGTTTTTAAATAAAATGAATTACAAAATGTTGTCATTACATTTTATTACAGAAAAGTTTTAGGTATTTTGAAACAAATTACATTGTGTAGTTTTAATAGGTCGTTGTCAGTTGTCAGATATATTTCGACCGACAATGTTGAAATAATTGGTCGCATACCTACTACAACGATGAACAACATTAGTAACATTTTTTCTAATTATTAACCTACCTGACATCTGAAATAAAGGTATGCTATCAGTCATTTAATTTTATAAGAGTCACTGAGCTTTCAGTTCCATAGGTTTATTTTATACCTAGTTTTCAAGTGTCCTATTTGTCAAGTGCATTTTTATAAAATTAATAAAAGGCATTCTAGATTCCATAACAATTTAGGATTAAAATATATTTACTAATAACGATATTAGGTACTAAATAATAACACATATCAGAACTTTGAAATACCAGATCACCGAAGAGATACAAGAATAAACAAGAGAAAGGTTCCCGAGGAACTCTAAATAAACCTAAACTGTCTTATTCCCCGAAGTTTCTCAAAATGCCCCAACGGATCACCTGATGTATTATTTACGTCTGTGATTCAAAGAAATGTCTCAAGTGCGCCCTCTAGGGCACTCTAAGTGCGTGACACTTTCTGATGATTGATAAATCACTTATTGGAAATTTTATACCTGTTACTTTGACAGCATGAATTATGATGTTCATGTGGCCCTTGAGGACCGTTTTATGAGAAGTAGGGATGCTGTGTTATATACGAAGTTGGATTGTACTTGTAAAGTAATTGTGTTGAAGTATTTTTAGTCATTTTGGTATATTATCGGTAGTGAAAAGTATTCTAAGGGTTTTATTGGGTTTTGGCCAAATTCTGAGGAGTTGATCTATTTCGAATGATCGAAATTTTTTTAAAAAGATTTTGACTTTGATGAATGTTCATCAAAATAAAAGGTTTTTTTAATGCATTGTTCAAAGCATTTATTTCAATTAAACCATAATTTGGTACTTTTGAAACGTCAACAAATACAAAATAAATAATAGTCTGTCAGTCAGTCCGTCAGTGAAGCCAGGTGAATTTAAATCGACAATTGAATGAAGTTAATACAATAAGAAGAATTAACATTATAATAGGGCGACGAATTATGTATGTACTGACACAGCTAGATACACAATTTGTTATGTTAGTAGTAATTTTCCTTGTGATACAGCTGTAACTATAATTTAAAATTATTCTCTCTAAGATATGACCTCAATTGATTGAAATCATAATTTGCTTTAGAATTCTCTGCCTTAGAAGAAGAGTAATGACAGACTCACACTGAATAAATTGATACTAATCGCCCTCAACATAAAATAGAAAATTGAGTACTCGAGTAACAAGCGCTATGGGACCACTTCATTGATGAAAATTTCAACAAGACTCTGAAAATCATTTATACGATTTTCTACTTAATTTGGATACGAATTGAGTACAATTTTCTTTGCTCATTCCTAAAGTATGTTTGTTGCTTCAGCTATGAAATATTGCCTGGCAAAATCGCTGTAATTCCCGTAACTTGGAATTTAAATTACGTACTGTGTCAATCTCGCAAAAAAGATAAGGGAGCCCTGAGAAAAACGTTGTTACAGGAATCCGACGTAATAAAATTAACAGGAGTACAGCAATGTCCTAGCATTTTGTATTTATTTCAACATTGAATTTTTGTCGTCCATCGTCATTGTTATCATGTTTCTCATTTACAAACGAGGAAGACAGAAGTTTATTTTATAACACACCTTCATACTTCAAATTAATACGAAGGATTTGTATAACTGGTACACTCGTACGAGTGTGTACTATGTCGTACAACGTTACGATGTACGAAGCTAGGTACGAACATAATTTACCCTACAACATACCTAAGATATCTTGGACCTTGCGTTGATACATTATGGCTCCAATCAATTTAAGATCTATGATGAATTTTCTTTATTTGGGTGTTCAATTTTTGGAAAACTATCCTTGTGGCCACCATCACACCACCAACAACACCTATAAGGGGGCATTAAATTGACTCCAAAGTACTTATTTGTGTATATTTCTAGATGGTCTCATGGTCTGCTGTTTCACCAAGCGGTTGTGGACCTCGCTCGGGCAGCCATCTTGCTACCTCTCGGCATTGCTGTGTTCCGATGCCAGCCAGTCTACAAATGCTCGTTGGTTGAAACGGCATTTCTGCTCCTGGTAAGTTAATGATTTGTTATTTAAATGTTATTCATACGATAAGCATCCCTTTTACTGATTGATCGATATCGTAGAAAGAAAAAAAAAACTGTTTAAATGTAAAGAGTGATAATAGTGCTACGTAAGGAATCAGTAAATTAGTTCAATGGGTACAGTAATCAATTATGCAGACAAATTCTGAATCTAAAATGAAGTTCGAAATAGAGTAGACCAACAAGTTTTTGCTTTGATGTAGAAAAAGTCTTTAAGTTCATATTATATAAACTTTGTATTTACATGAAGCCTACTCTTCATATAACTTCGTTACTCGTTGCCGGAGTGGGTAGGGTGATACAATTTTTATCCACTCCCATGACACACTTCGCTCGCACGTACCTACGACATGCAATTCTAAACATGTCGAACTGAATGAAGTGAAACCACTGAACACAGAATATACGGCGGATTCCACACAATACAACTTCGCCCTCAAAATTAAAAACCGTACAGTCAGTATCGGAATTTTTTAGTCACCTAAATTCGTGTCACGGCCAGTCAGCATTTTTTAAAAAATACTGCACTAAAATGTTCAGTCCGCATTTATTGGAAAAGTGCGGAGTTAGCACTACGTGTGTGGTGTAGCTACTATTTTAGGAATAAACTTGTTAGAGGAAAGGGCTTAATATATTTTTATTGAATAGTATTTCAATAAAAAATATCGGAGATAAAAGGAACACTCAAATGCTTTGATAACACCTGTCATCTATCATGTAATAAGTGGAATAATTATATTTTTATAATAACTATCGTGAGAGATACTAAATTAACTAAAATCGCGGGTTACTCACGTGAATAAGTATCCTGAGGCAAGCTCTACTAGTTTCGAACCACAGAGGGGTTCTTCCTTATGAGCAGCGTGCGCGGTCGCGGCGACGTCGTGCAGCTCACTGGAATATAGCCAAAAATACACATTTATTGGATAAAGCATAAATTGACGTTACTTATTATGCTTGTGTGGTTTTCTGCTAATCACTGGTAATCCAAGTAAACTAAAATGTGTCAGACTGTAGATATTAAAAATAGTACTTTTTTAAATAGAAACAGTGCAGACAATTGTGACATAAACCAGGCCCGGGAAAAATTTTTGGGATCATTTATATCCATAATAAACATTCTGAATGAGGGTCCATTAGAGTCAATTATGTATGTGGACGTCCAAATTTAGAAGTACCCAATTCGCTTCGAGAGTAGCATTTGTGGAAATGTTTGCAAATGATTATCTCGATTAATGGTCTATAACTTGACCAGTCGGCCATATGGCTCCATTAACTTATATGAGCCATCCGATGTTCATTGAACCATAACTTTTTTATGATTGTACGAGGACCTACATACAAGTATCGTTGAATAGGCTATCAGTATAAATTGCCTTTTGGGAATTTGCCTATTGTTTTAAGGGAGACAGAAATAGTTTTATGCAAATATAGCTATGACGCCAAATGAAAATCTGCAGCTTCTTTTAGCTTTGAATAATACAAAATGACTGCCTCGTTTGGCCGAGCGGTCGCAAGTGCGACTGCCGGGTAAGGGGCCTAGGGTTCGAATCCCTGCTGGTTTCTTTTTTCTTAATTAATCTCAGTAGTAGCACGGTGTTTGGAATTGTGCTGTATATGGCAATAGACTATCACTTATAACATAAATAGTGCAAAGTGGGTGTTACATTGTACAAGTGCCGTAATGTGCAGATCTGCCATATCCCTTAGGGGCTAAAAGGGGTGATGATGATGACCAAACAAAGGAAAATAAGTTTCTCATACTGGTAAATTTACAGAAAAATGCGTCCCGTTAAATAGTTTTATAGACACGAAATTCAGATAATTTGGTTTAACGTCAACGAAATCATATGCAAAGTAGAAATATCTTCTCATCTCAACGAAAGTTACTGTAACCAAAGTTTTTTTATAATCAAAATGAGCCTGAACTTAAGTGTCATCAGACACAGTTGAACATCAATAGAATGCAAAAAGTAACAGATCTTCGCTGACAAAAGTACGATTGTTTGAAACTGGAGGCAGTTGGCACATAAAAGTGATTTATCGGCACTTAAGTTCAGTTGAGACGGACGAGAAAAGGCAAGAATAATCTTCGATGCTTAATTTTGATAGTATCTTGTCAGTTCTGAATAGTTGTTGGGATGTTTGTAGACAAATGTGTCTGGAATTCTAGCGTTATGACGTAGATTGGGTACGGAATGGTAGAATTCGTTTTTGGAATATAAACTAGAAATAAGAACTTTGATTGATATTTACATTTGGTTGAATTTGTTGATTCTGCGAAACTGTAGGTATATTGTAAAACATTTTCTAAGTACAATATTTAGTTTTTTTATATATATATTTGATGGGCTGACGTTTGACCAATTTCTCGCCTGGTGGTAAGCGATAGCGATAATTAGTTAACTAGTTAATTCATAAAAAAGATTTTGTTGATATTGTATTTTTATAGCAGGGTATTTTATCAAAAATGTGTATTAATTCTGTTGGTCTGTGTTCACATTACCTGTATGTGTGTGGTTAATAATTCTAAGATATTTTCTAGGTGACAGTGTCTACAGTGAACATGCTCACGACAGTTCTCAACGACAGTCCAATTTTCCCCGAAAATGAGGAGGAGCAAGCTGATTTATCGGCACCATTACTGATGGACAGCCCGCAGGTAAAATTATGATCTTGTCGTTTCCCTTACGACCACCACCGTAACTTTAATTCGCCCGTAGAGGAAATGTCGGTATTGTCAGGGGTAAAATCCCTCTTTTCTTTTGTTAATTTTAGTAATTTAAAGATTTCCCCAATACAATACTTGGCTCATTTAAAACGTTTTGTGACTCAAAATAAGTTTAAAATAAATTGAATATTTTGTTGCAGTGCGTCCTTTTCGGAACATTCATGATCTGGTTCGCATCGATAACGATAAATCTCGGGCCCACGTTCTTATCTGGGGCTTTGGCTGCCAGTGCAGGCTCTTACGGGTCTTACGGGCCGGCTCCCTCGTGTCCTTTAGTGCGAGGACCCTTCAGGCATTACGTGCTTAACGCTCTTTGGATAGGCGTTAACGCTGTCTGCATTGGATTGACACTTTTCCACTTGAAAAAGCTCCACCGAGATCTCACTAAGGTTTGTATATCATTAATCACACTATCCCCGACGAATACTCCCGAGACCCTATAACAGATGGCATGGAGAGGTTAGTTTCTCGTGAAGTAATAATAAACAGTAATGCTTTGTATACATTGTTTGCATCATCTCCCATACTCACTGAACAGACTTCTCCATGATCATCATTCGATATCGAGGTAATTTGAGAGCATACATGTCATCCACGGCTTTGTGAAATATGGTATTAGCTATAGCAGTTGTTTTGAATGACATGTAACCAGTTCCGTAGTGTATGTAATGCAGTTCACAGTTGCGAGAGCGGCAGAACTAGCGCTCAGAACTCGTTGGAACTCACGAAGTCATCCGCATATTCCAAGTCGCTATACAATATTGTGCATAGTCGTCTTACGTTGGCCGGTATAGGAATTTTTGTTGGTACCTTGCCAATATTCCATGCGGTGTACCGCAAATAAGATTTAAATTTTCGGAATTCGCCCCACTCGATACGGACGTTCGCATTTAGAAGTGCATCGTCCAAATAAATTCTAAACAACAAACCATACTCAATGCTTGCCGTTGCCAAAGTGCGGTTCAGATTTAAGTATTCGATAAATTTAAATCTTATCGCATGCAGGCTAACGTAGAAGCAGTACGGGTAGCTGGTTTAGTGACCACGCTTGTCAGCATGGCAGGTGACAACAGGCGGATGGATAACCTGCCCAACAGCGTCGGACCCAGGGTAAGGAGTGTGATGCATGCTTGTCTCATCCTGTACATCTTAGTCTTTGTATTTTCAGCTACTATGTGTATGTGTATTCTATTCCTTAACCGCTCTCTGCCTTTATGAAATACCTACCTTGTATGTATACTAATGAATTTCTTATTATTATTCTTCTTTATTCAAATTATTATCTAGAGGTATATATGTATGTTTATTTATTATTCTATAATACATGTATTTTTATCTTTAAATCTGAAATTCTTTCGAACAATACTACTAACAGCTTGATAGATAGACTTGTCAAGTCAGTTATTGGTTACAAATTGGCTATATTACTTATCTTTTGTTCTTAAATTGTTTTTTTTTATATTTTTAGTTTACAAATCCCTGCTGATAGCGGACAATGATGTACGTATTGATCAGATTTGTTCTAATAGAGTTTCTTTTCTCGCAGACTGTGGACGGTACTCTTTCGGATGGTCGCCCAACTGGCAGCAACAACCTTCCCCTGGGTGGTGGTCGCAGACTGCGAGGTTATCTGGCGCGAGTGGAGCGTGAGGGTGTCCGTCGTGTACGAATGTTCCTCGTCATCACTGCAGCATATGTGCTGTTCTGGGGCCCACTGTTTCTGATCACTCTGCTGCATCACCCGGCTCTCACATCGCACATAGCTTATGAAGTAAGATAAACAATACAAATAATATTAATACAGTTTCAAATATAAAATATTTTTTCAAATAATCCACCAATGCCCATTGTTTCAGATGTATTTCCAAATCACACTACATATCTCATATGTCCACGCGGCGGTTAATCCTCTGCTGTTCATGGCTTTACATCGGGCTTTACGGAGAGCGGCTTTGCAGTTGTGCTGCGGTTGTTGCGTACATTGGAGTCAGTTTGTATTGGCTCTGACTGCAGCTGGTATGTACGCATGATATGATAGGCTGGTTAATGGTCATGTTCAAGACGTTCAGGAGTATACCTAACATTTTGTCCATAGCCCAATCACCACTAGCCCCAGCGTCGTTCTCTCCCGCGGCAGTGTCTCCGGAGCCTCCCCCCGCGCCCCCACCACCGATGGCTCCTCCCGCCCCCCCGGCGCCGGCGCACTCCGCGCCTGCGCCTCACACGATGATGGTAATTACTTCTTATATGTAAGTGTTGACACCGTAATACGTGGTTTAACTCACTCGCACAATCCCGCACGTCAACTCCCTAGATCCCGCGAGTCGTAGACTAAGATTGCCTGCGAGCCGATTGCATGACGAGGATGAGAAACTTTCTGTCGTATAGTTTCCTCTTCCGTGGTAGTGGCGTCCTAGTCCTAGCTGCCCTACTCATAGTAAAACGAATGAAACATCTCGCTCTCAGAGTTGGGAAGTTGAGGAGTGTGACGCTGAGAGTATGTCGAGTGCGCGTGTGCAGGGAGACGAGGATATGATGGGGGAGGCGTGGAGCGGCAGCGTGCGGCGGGTGGCGCGCTCGCCGAGCCCGCTGCTGCCCGCGATCTGAGGCGCGCGGGGCTCGCCGGCCGCCTCGCCCGGCCCCTACGTGCCGCATCTGCCGCACTCGCCGTACATGCCGCGCGCGCCGCCGCCGCCGTCGCCCGGGGCCCGCTTGTCCGACATATCCTACATGTGGCCGCTGTAGTCGTCCGGTACACGATCACGTTGTAAATATTCGTAAGAACAGTAGCGTCATCAGATTGTATATACATGTGTTGAGGTGTGTCTGTCTCAGTAGTCGTCATGCTCTAAACTTATTGATGTATAGAAAGGGTATTTATGAATATTACAAAATTATATCTAAGATAATTTTAAACTTAGTAGATTGTTGTTTGTGGTAAATATAATTTACAAAGATAAATATAGGTTTTGAATTGTACATTGTGTAATTTCAATTCTTATTCCGTAAGTTATAATAGAAAGCTAAATTCTAAAATCACGAGATGTTAGAAGAAATATATTAAATGGCACTTTCAGATGATAATTCAGTAGTAGTAATCCCAACACAAATAAAATAAATATAAAAATAAAATACATATTTTTGTGAAGACGTATGTAGTTTGTGTGAATCTCATAAAATGGAACACCAAGTAGATAGGAACGTGTAAAATATAAAACAAAACAAACTGTAGATTAGTAAGAGTAATTTACTAATTGTATCATTGGGTCTCTTCCTAAAACAAAAGTCAAACTAATTTTGTAGCTTAACGTGGCCAACAGTGAAACATCTGTTTAAAGACTGAATATTTTTTTGTATTTTATTTTATACCAATTATTTAATTAAGACACAAATATTGATATTTTACTGTTTATTTTATATTTAGATTTATATATGCATTGTAATATGTTTTCTATTAAAATATATGTGCCAACCCAATGTATGAACACCCTTATGAAAATCATGTGAGATAGATGTTAAGATTTATCAATTTTTTCAACGGGACTTCTTACATTAATATATAAATTTATGTTCAAAAAACCTAAAATTATTTTGTAAATAGTTGATGTTACTCAGAAGAACATAAATCACTTGTAAATACACCTTATTTTGATTATTGATTCAAGAAATATCATCTATGGCGAAAAATATTCTTCGTAGAAAATGTGAAATAAATGTATTTCCTCAATTAAATATTCTTTAGACGTACTAATAAAGCACAAAATATAAAATGAAATAAATAAATGAATCGTAAATAAAGTCGTCCCGTTTACAATTTATAATAATATACAATTTTATTAATATTAGGTTATATTATAATTTTAAATTGATGTATTTAATGATGGTTGTAAATTAAGTAACTATGTTGTAAAATAAAAGATATATGAACTAACAGAAAATATAAAATTGTGTTCTTCAAATTATAATAAAAAGAATATAAATTATTAAAAATAAAGTGATTTATTAAATGTTTTAATTTATTTCTTACTCTGTGCCTTTTCCCTTCCATGCGTATAATATATGTATATAAACCTATATATAACAATGTAAACCTATATCATTATTTACAAATGTATGTAAATAAATATTGTATTATGAAAGTCGAATTATATGCCTCAAAATTATGGAAATTAGTCAGGGTTATTTCCATAATAAGTGGAAATCAATCAAACATAAGTAGAAAAGTCATTTAACTTTGATGTCTGATCTCGAGTGACGTAAATAAATATAAACCTACATAAATATAATGGGTTAGAAGGAAGATGAAAATATTTTATTATATCAGAAATATTTTGAGGTAAAATGTTCGTAATATAGTCGACAAAGTCCCCTTGTATAGAAAACATGGTTTCCCAAACAATTTGTCGTGTTACGAAGGATAAGAAAATGTTGTGTCCCGAGAACTGTTCCCGGAATAATTTATTTCTTTCGTTCATCATCGCACGAGTAGCGTATATTCCTAGAAATATACTGGTGGTATGTGGTATAAAAATATAAAAATTCTTATGTGCTGTCATATATTTCAACCTGGTACTTTATTACTTACGGCAGAGGCCCACATATTACCTAAATGCTATCATTGACTGCCTCGTTGGCCGAGTGGTCACAAGTGCGACTGCCGGGCAAAGGGTCTCGGGTTCGATTCCCGGATCGGGTAAAGTATTACTGGTTTTTTTTTTAATTCTCAGTAGTAGCACGGAGTCTGGAATTGTGCCCGGTATATGGCAATAGGCTCACCCCCTATTACATGGGACTCATAACATAAATAGTGAAAAGTGGGTGTTACATTGTACAGTGGCATAATGTGCACATCTGCCTACCCCTTTAGGGATAAAGGCGTGATGTTATGCTATCATTGGTTGTTGCTTGATACCAAGCATAAGTATGTATACATAAATGACTGCTTCGCTGGTGGCTAGCATAATAAATCGCCAACCGACTGTTGTGCAATGTAGTCTCAATCGTAACAAGTCTCTAAGAGATTAACCAATCGTTGTTCCGAGTTTAAATAAAACGCTCTAGTCTAGAAACATACCACTGCTCAGTCCCAAAGCGATCACCGGTGACCGCTCTCCACTCACACCATTATAGACCTTATTTCCAATATTTAGAGACTTTTTTTTTATTGGGACAAGCCCGCCACATCCTCCCAAAACCGCTGCAACTCCTGTAAGCCAGGATCTACAGTAGGTACAACAATGAAAACACTGGAACACTGAAGTTCGGCGCGGCCCAAGGACATGAATAACTGTCTTGGTTCCTGCATCGAAGTGTATCAGAAGATATTATAAGAGGAGAAAAAATAAAAACGAGCAACTACTTTTGTACGAACAAACGTTGTAGATTTTTTATAATCGGGCATTAAGAAGCCACTCCCATTTTCCGGGCATAAAATACAGATCACTTAAAAATTTCTTTGTTCCTTCATGATAAATCATATCTCTGGGTTTAGCTGCACCCAACTTAGAACATGATCCTAAATAACTTAGATTACAATCCCGCAAGAACTTCGGAATAAAAAGTGACCTATACCATAAAGTAAGTTTTCTAATTTGGAAAATTTTAAATCGTTTAAGTAATTTCACAAAACTATTTTCCTGTGTATAATATTAGCACCTAGTGGTAAAAACTATGATATCCATTTCTATGTATTGTAAATTGGAAGCTACACAACCCTACTCAGGTGAAGGGGCGAGGGTCCCGAGCTAACCCTGCGCTACTCGAGTGCAACCTCCGGATAAGGTCATGACCCTGACCGATATTCCGGCCAATTAATGATGGTGTCACACGTATCGTACACCTGAGGACTTTATTTTATGGTTTTTGCAATGAAGATAGATAGTTAAAATATGTTTTGAGAGAGAATATGTTGTCTAACTCGTTGATTGTTGTAGTCGAGAGCATAGCGATCGCGCGAAGGTAAGAATCAGAAAGTCAGAAGTATTAAAAACATCGTGGTTTGCAAAATTTTTACATAGTTTGGAATCGTGCCTAATATGTTCATTGCGATACTTACTGCGATGGAACTCCATGCGTTATGGTTAGTTAATTCTAAATAAAGTTACGGGCTTTTAAACCTAACAATATTACATTTGTACTCATTATATTAACACGACGACCCGTGTTTCATTAGGCTATATTTATATAAAGTTACATCAACATTCAGAATATGAACATTCTACGTTGAATGTCAAACATTGGTTTTCAACTTGTCGTATCCCGAAGGAATTGATTAATTTAGTGGAAACGGAAAAGCAAGTGGTATTCGGCTTCAATTCACCAGTCAGTAAAATGTTATTCAAATGTTTCTTGTATATAAAATTCTCAGTATTAGAACAGTGTCTGGAATGATGGAATGGAATCCAAATATATTGAAATATCATGTAGTTTTTAAACATGAATTTTATTTCTCGGTGGTGATAAATGTACTCACTATTAACCGTAAAATTGTAACAGTTTCTACATAACAATTAGAGTTAAATTCATTTCACTCATTTGATTGCCTCATTGGTCGAGCGGTATCGCAAGTGCTGGGCAAGGGGTCAGGCAAATTACTGGGTTTTTTAATAGTAGCACGAAATCTGGAAATGTGCCCGGTATATGGCAATAGGCTCACCTTTTACTACACGGGACTCATATGACAAGTGGGTGTTACATTGTACAGTGGCATTAAGTGCCGTAATGTGCACCTAAACCTTCTGGGATGAATGGCGTGATGTTATATTATGTTATGTTGTCAGATTCATTTCATACATCGGGGTCAACTTAACACAGATTAATACTATAGAAAAATTCTAGTAAACGTTCCTGACATGTAGTATATACCTCTATATTACAAGTCATTTAAGACATAACATATATAATTTAATTTATGCAAGATCGAGCCTTAGCAAGATCTAACCATAAGCTCATTGAGGGAGGCAGTAAAGGCATGATAGTGCCGACGTGTGCCTACATTTTAGACTCTTGGGGTCTCGAAACATGTAGTAGTGAACCCTATTGACCTGAGACCTTAATCGTATGTTACAGAACCTCTTTATGTCATAGGACCGTCGTATTTTGCGGTTTGTATTGTACGTGCTTGACTTGTACTGTTTAAGATGTAAGACAAGATGACCAAATTGGCTACCCAAAATAATTAATTTCGTGTTTTGAACAAGGAATTTGTATTTTGTTTATTGAAGATTCTTTATGTTAGATGGAATTTTTAATATAACATTAATATCTACAAAATGCGGGCTAGTTATTTTGTTTTTTAATTCTAATGTACATCGTGACTGTTGTAGGTAATATTCGAGAGACTTATCTATTCGACTAATGATTAAAATCTATCTGACATTTCGGGTTTTACACAATTCACTGTACTGATTTTTACTATTAAATACTCCTATACTTGGAACCTTATAAAAAATAGATAAGTTATCAGGCAGATGTCATCTTTCCATCGGGTTTTTGGACGTCTAAGGGATAGTAGCAAAGAAACAATAAAATTGACAAGCTCTTACTGAAATATCTATTGAAATATATGAAATATATAAATGTCTATTGTCTACACACATGAAAAGAACATAACATTGGGTTCTTAAAACAAAAGGTAATCAAATAAAGTAACAATACAGCTTTACCTAAAATACCTCAGTGCCTTTGTTTGTTTGGCTTACAAACATCAAAAGATAGAGTTAGTAAATGTCAAAGAAAATACGTTAACAGAAAAATAATAGATATTTTCTTCTTCTTTGATAGTTAAAAACTGAAATAGATCTGTTTGATATTTGAGCATGTAGAAATGTAGGCCTATAATTCTTTTATAAGCTACGTTTAAAGAAACCGATTTCAACCCTTCCTTTTTTTAAGTTGGTTAATAAATACATTCTTCTCATAAGTGTAACAAAAACTTTTCTGAAAACCACATCAAAATCTGTTCAGCTAATTGCGAGATAATCGGACATCAACATGCATACATGAGAATCACAGGTCACACTGAGAATCGCCTGTGATTTTTTGTCGGTTAACTTTTTTTTATGTCATAAGCCGGTAAACGAGCAGACGGATCACCTGATGGTAAGCAATCGGCGTCGCTCATGGACACCTGGAACACCAGTGGCGTAACAAGTGCGTTACCGGCTTTTTGGGGATTAGGATCTCCCACACTTACTCATATAATAATAAATAAAAATAAATCAGCTTAGAACAACTTACTACATAGTGAAAGTTTTTTTCACATGGAAAAAAATGAGTCATGTGAAGTCATATCTACTAAAAATGCCATTATACGTACAAAGACGTAGATAGGTAACAATGCTGTTTTTCATAATTTCAATAAAACATTTCTCAGTATTTTGTCTATTAAACTGTCAAACACCGCGAGGTACTCAAAGAGTTAAATTAAAATTGATTTCAAATAACAACAGATTTTGTGTTAATGGTCAGCAAAAAGACAAGCTATTAGACGCAATAGTAGATATCTATTTAATGAAACCAATTGAATCTATAGTAATAAAAACCATTACCATCATCATAACTTACATGCAATATGTAGGGGAAAGTTGGGTATATTGGACCATTCGTTAAATTGGACCACCATCAAATAACAGTTTAGTAGTTTATTGAATTTATAATTGGCAACACCAATCGTCAATCAACAAACTTCACTACGCATCAGCCATTTTGAATTTGTAATAAAACAGCGTCGCTAGTTGTCATAAGCGAAAAACGAAATTCATTGTTTTTAATGTAAATTTTGGTGTACGTTGCTAGTGGTGTAATTAGGACAAAGGTAAGCTTTTTATACTTATATTTTAAATTTAGATTTGTTATTCATCAACAATTAACTGGTGATAAACATTAACCGGCTTAAGTAGGTTATGTTCTTGTCATTTTTTTCTTTTTATGGAAGTAAACGGTTTGTTTAAATGGACCGCACATAGTCGGTTAAAATGGACTGGTCCAATTTATCGAACACTTTCTTGTTTGTTACAGATGACTGAAAAAAAATATTTTAAATGGAAAATAGAAGATCTACAAAATGCTATACATGACTATAAGAATTCAGATATTGGTTTGAACGAGTGTGCACGATTACACAAGATTCCTAAAGCAACATTGAAAAGACATTTAGATAAAAGTGATTCAGAAGATCTTGTTGAAATTAATAAAGGCAGACCAACGGTATTTGACAGAAAATTTGAAAATGTTCTAGTAGAGCACATATTATTTTTAGAGCAACACATGTTCGGGTTCACTATCACAGATATCAGAAGACTTGCTTACCAAATTGCCGAGAAAAATGGACTGAAACACAACTTCAATAGTACAAAGAAAATGGCTGGGAAAGCGTGGTATTACGCTTTCATAAAACGGCATAAGGACAAGATTAGTCTTCGACAACCTGAAGCAACATCTTTAAACCGTGCTAAAGGGTTTAACAGGGAAAGTATTCAAAACTTTTTTGATATTTATGAGCAAATAGTTGACACTAATAAGCTGAATGCTAACAAAATATTTAATGTCGATGAAAGCGGATTCCAAACAGTGCAAAAGAAGCCCCAAAAAGTTTTAGGTGGCAAGGGAAAAAAGCAAATTGGAGCATTAACCAGCGGTGAAAGAGGTGTTAATACAACAATGGTTGCCTGTGTAAGTGCAGCTGGTCAATTTATTCCGCCAATGATAATATTTAAACGAATGCGCATGAGTGATCAATTGAAAGAGGGAGCTCCAGCTGGAAGCTTGATAACCGTTTCGGAATCCGGGTACATCAACCGTGAGCTGTTCTGTCAGTGGTTGCAACATTTTGCTGCAGTCGTCAAGCCAACAAAGGAAGATAAGGTCTTGCTGTTGCTCGATGGGCACACGACACACAGCAAAAACCTTGACGCTTTGATGTTTGCACGCGAGAACGGCATCGTTTTGCTACAATTGCCAGGACACACTACGCACAGATTGCAACCGCTTGACGTCTCATTTTTCAAGCCAATGAGCACTTATTATACCCAAGCCATCGAATCTTGGATGCGTTCACATCCTGGTAGTGCTGTAACTCAGTACCAAGTAAGCCGGCTTATCAATGAGGCATATGAACGCGCAGCCACAATCGGTAACGTTGTCAATGGATTTAAGGCAACTGGCACCTGGCCTGTAAACCGGAACATATTTCAAGATCATCATTTTGCACCAGCTGAAGCTTTGATCTCTAATGTTGAACAAAATGATTCTCCAAAATTTTCTACACTACTTTCTAATATGCAAGACGATGTACCCTCCACATCCCAGGTTACTGAGCCGTCAAAGTTAGAAGAATTCAAAAGTAGCCTGAATATTCTATCCCCATTACCCAGGAATAACTTACCGAGTAAAGGCAGAGGCGCTCAAAAAGCTGTTGAATTGACATCTTCTCCATATAAAAATAATTTAGAGATATCCCAGCAGAAAGCTAAACAACCCAAAAAAGTTCCATTGCGATTAAATAAACCGATCAAACAGAAGATAAAAAAAATGACTAACCTAAATACAACTCATGTTAAACAAAACAAGAAACTTATTGATAAAACAGCACGCAATAAGAAAAAGATAAAAATTGAAGACAGCGAAGAGTCGACTGAAGAAGAAGAAGTCATAGTCTTTGACGATTCGGAGAGTTGCGATTCAGAAGACAAAGAAAATGATTGTGCGAAATGTGGGCGAAATTACTACGATAAGAAAGGACCAAAAGTGGACTGGATACAATGTGTGCGTTGCCATAACTGGAATCATGAAACTTGCACCACTAACCCCGATATTTGTGATGATTGTCTGGAATAATTTTTTTTACTTATTCAGAAATTTTTACTGTTTTTTTTAAGTCTTTTTAGAAAAACTTATATTTTCTATCGTTGTTGTTCGTAGTAAGTAATAATATTTTTCTTAAAAGTGTTTCTGTTTAGTTTTATATGTAAGATTTCTATAAGTCCAAATTACCAACCGTGTAGTCCAATTAATCCTACCGGTTGGGTAAATTGAACCAAATATCTGATCTCAAAAAATAATAATTATCTTAAGTGTTGCTATAATTATGTTGATTTTTATTAATTATATATGAAGCCAAATAAATATAGTTTCATTTAATACAGATGTTGTCTGTGCTTTTTTCAAAGAAGCACTTCAAAGCCGCATTTTTTTTTAAATGGTCCAAAATAACCGACTTTCCCCTATGTATGCAGTATGTATACAAGTATAATTGTTAGTGGAGCCTTGGAGGATATAACGGGTTGCCGGAGTTCTGGCTCGAAGAGCAGGAATAGGAACGGGGTGGTATATAGTCAGTAAGAGTCTGACACTCCCTCTCGCCTGACTCGGGCAGGAGAAGTCATTGTATGATTTCCCCCATCAGAAAAAAAAGGTATAATTGTTAGTGAGAGTCTATTGCTGAACTACGGACCTCTGCTCTGAATTTATCATAACTTCCACGTATTGCAGGCGGGATGACGATAGCAGTTAAAAAGAATTTAGATTATAGAGACCCCTGTCTCTTTCAAATGTGTAGTTTCTTATTAGCACTCTTGGGAAAGAGCAGGGACGAGAAATGTATGTGTTTTTCTCTGTCAACACCATACAGTCCTTGTACTCATTTAAATATATACCAGACTAGCAACTTCCGCGCGGTTTCACACGCTCTGCTCAGCTCCTATTGGTCGTAGCGTGATATTTTATAGGCTATAGCTAATCTCGATAAATGCGCTATCCAACACAAGAATAATTATTCAAATTAGACTTGTAGTTACGGAGATTAGCGCGTTCGAAAAACAAACAAAAAAACAAACTCTTCCGCTTTAAATAATATTGGTAAAAATAGTATAAAATAAGATAATTCGTGTTAAAAGGTCCTCATGTCTAGATTGGCCTAAAAAATATCATTAACTTTGTTTGTAAAAGTTCTTGTCATGTTTCGGATAGAAAATTATAATATTGGTATTCTGATTTTCTTTGAATTAGTATTGTATTTTGCAGGCAAGTGTATAATTACTTGCCTTGAGAAAATTCGAGACATATTTTCAAGTAACTTTCTTGACAGATTTTCACTAATAATAAAATACTTCAGTAACCTAAGATTTGTGTCTTGTTATTAAAAGTTCCATAGTAATATTTTTGAGGATTTTCTCTTTCATTTCACACGTAGTGTAGGTAATAATTTCATTTTCTTGTATGCGACGACTTTATAGTTATTAGATCGTATGTAGAGGTACATATATAAGGAGTAAAATAGTAATTTTGCGTCCACCATTTTTTGTTAAATATTATTCGTTTCGTAAATTGAGGAAAAAAGAAACAAAGCAATATATTTTCCTTATCTTTGTGGCTTATAACGAACTTTGATTCGATACATTTGAGAAATTGACACTGATCTTAAGTGGATTGCTACCGAAATAGATCTAACGCGATTCTTATTTCAAATTCCATTATTTTGGTGTTTTGGGACTACGTCTTAATGGCCAGCTATGTTTGGAACTTGTTTATCATCGATATAAATACTCCTTGGAGACATTCTATTGTTTTTGTTTCATATTAGCTTTTCTTATTTCATCTAATCAGTGTTCCGATTATCAATCTTCGTAAGTGTAGTAGATATAATTTTTTACCTTAATATATCAAGTGGCACCCTGACACTTATAACGAGAGATTAATACAGGGTGGAGATTAATTTAAAAAGGTTTATCTTTAGTAATAAAATGTGCGCATAAAAAGTAAGCTTGTGTTGTCATTAGAGGGGGGCTCGAAATGAGGTCGTCATCGTACACCGTTACGCATCGAGTTATACGAACCACTTTATCATGGTCTTGCTTTATACGATTTTTTTGCACATTCATAGATCAGTTTACACTGGTTTTTATAGGTTGATGTGTAGTCTACACTACATAGCAACTATTAGGTATATTAATGTTTATGACAGGACAAGTAAATGTATGGCCGTCAGCGATAATATACAGGGTCGGGATTTTTTTATTGTTGTTTTCCTGTTTTTATTATTCAAACAACAATCAGTTTGATAAATGAATTGTGATGCCAAAATATATTATTATGCAAATAAAGAGTGAAAGTCGTGGTAGTCGGATGTAATAAGCTTCTCATGAATATGGCTGCGGGGTTGAAACCTACTAACGGCAAGTACCAATTTGACTATTTCCGATCTATATGTACTTTCTAAGATTATTAGACTCCATTGACAAACGGTAAAGGAAAATATCGTGAGGAAACCTAAGTTTACAATCCTACTAATATTATAAATGCAAAAGTTGGTGAGTTTGTGTGTCTGTTTGTTAGTAAATCACGTCAAAATTGCTGAAGGGATCAGGTTAAAATTTGAAACAGGGATAAATTAAGATCTGAAATAACACACAGGCTACTTTTTTCCACGGGATCGCGGGCGAAGTCGCGGGCAGAGGCTGGTTTCTAATTATAAGTTTGAAGTTGCCAACCCGCATCGACAAAGTGTGGTAATTAATGCTCAAATCGTCTCCGTGTGAGAAAAGATTTTGGTCAGCAGTGGCTGTTGATGTGATGGCTCGTGCAAGACAGCAAGCCGAGGGATTGAGGTAGATTCCTGGTTGAATTTTATTAAAATTCTGAGTAGTACAGATTCGATTTTTTTTTCATGAAATAAACCAGTAAACTAGCAGACGGATAACCTGATGGTAAGCAATCGCTGCCACCCATGCACACCCGGAACACCGGATATGTTACAAGTGCTTTACCGGCCTTTTGGGGATTAGAAATTTTGGGGATTGTTGAGGATTCGGGTATTTGGGAGGGGGGTAACTGGGACTCCAATAACCTCACTCACACGACGCAACACAACGCAAGCGTAGTTTCACGTAGGAACCTATTTGTGCCGAAGCATGGCTCTCCCACACTTATGACATATTATCACGGCCGATAAATAGCAATAGCAGAAGATAAATACATTTAAAAGCGATAAACTGTCAAACACCGAGCGGTCACCGGTGACCGCAACCTATTGTTCTACCTCTGTGTCTATAATGACGGTACTCGACGAGTTAAAAGTTTTGAAAATTGGACGAAGATACCTTGATAGCATACTCAAACATCTTGTAACCGTCAGTTATTGTATGCAATGGTACTTGCATCTTCTCAAACTGAAGTAATAAAAAAGTTGTGAAGAGTCCTACAAATGTCAATAGTAAAATGAAAGGAGTCGGAAATTAAATTGCAGCTCATTGAAAAGCTTGCTTCTTGAGTAGCTTGCTACATTTTTCAAGTTGCCACTATTATGTAGAAAAATAACATTTTATGCGAGGCAGCTGATTGTTTGAAATGACATTCTTAAGAGGTTGTTTCTTATAAAAATACCTCTACTTATTATGAACTTGCCTGCCTATCTCGATGATCGGTAGGAAAATCATTAAAAAGGTTTTTTTATCTCCCAAAACCGCTGTAAGCCAGGATCTGCAGTAGATACAACCATGAAAACACTGGAACACTGAAGTCGTCGCGTTTCAGGGACATGAATAACTGTCTTGGTTTCCGCAACTAAGTGAATCAGAAAATATTATAAGAGTATTAGGTTATTCGGGTCGCGAAATGCTGCTCATGAATATGAGCTTCTAGTATGGCTTGAAACTAGTCGAGTTCCTCATCAAATAATTACGTGAGTAAGCCGAAACATAATTAAATACTTAGGTACAAATTAATACAATTAATAATTTACTTTTTACTCTAACTTTGTAGCCTCTATCTCAATGTAACACACACTATCTCTAAGTTGCAATCTATACACACATACGTACATGCATGACAAACTATACTGCACTATATATGTTATAGCAATACTGACGCAATGAGATGTCATTTCGCGCTGTCAGACTGTCCCGCTACTGCGATGCTTGCCGAGCTGAACGGGACAAAACGACATGTTAGATACACCTGTATATACTATGTGCGTATCTACCTCTAGAATGTAGGTTATAGATACAGTAGAGGTTAAATGGAGTGAGATAGTGTTTTGATTAAAATGTATGTTTAATGTGAATGAGATTTCTTTAAAAACCCAGTATTATTTTGCCCGACCCTGGAGTCGATCCCGAGACCCCTTGCCCGGCAGTCACACTTGCGACCACTCGGCCAACGAGACAGTCAAAAATTATTTTTATACTAAATTACAAAATATTAATCACGTGTATTAATTTGTTTCTTGAGTATTGAGTTACGTTTTAAGTAAAAGTAACTGATTGATAATCATTGCCGTTCTTATATACATAACAAGTTATTGTAGGTACAATAACGTAATGAAAGTAGATAAACGACAATAAACGTAAATAATGTAAATTGAGATAGTAAATCGTGTTACATAGATTCATAGATCGTTTACTATCACAAACGATCTATGAATCTATGTAACACAACCTCAAAATATGTGTCAAATTCTTCTACGAAATATATCAAAACCGTATACGTAAACGTAAACTACTGAACCAAACAGACAGTCTTACTATAAACTTTGATAACACCCCTAAGTGCCACAAGTTCAGGACAAACATACTGACAACCGTATTGTTTTAGCAATGAGTGGAGTGAGACACTTATATAAAATTTTATGTACCGCGCTTTATCGTACAAAATTGTTACTGTTATGTGTATGCTTGGATTTTTGTGGCTTTCACAAGTTGAATTGATATTTGACGACAGTTTTGTATTAGGGTTGTAACGACATGTTTTCAATTTTTTGGTATGAAATGACACATTTTATACCAGAAAAAAATAGGTAAACAGGATCAATTTTTTGAAGACTTAATCCAGTTACTTTATCT